CGTGTTCGTGGCTCCTATCTGGTTGTGGAATTTGATTTTCCGTTTCTGGAGCAATATTCCTAAACCCAAAACCCCCAAAGCCTTGAACCCAAATCCCTAAGCCCTGTATATGTCCTGCTCCACGTTAGCAGGAAGATTCACTGCTGCAGTATGGCTGCCGTTTGCCGTGTGTGTTGTGGCTTTGGTTGTCACAGGCGTCCGCGGCCCCTTGTTGCAGGAATTGGTGTTTATGGTTTAGGGTTTAGGGCCAAGTTTAGGAAGTGTTCCAACAATGGACAAGAAAGCGGTCCATGACACAATCTGGATTGTATGGTGGTTTACAGGTGTCAGGGTGCGTAGAGTCGGGCTTGATTATGTTTTTACGTGACTGTACACTGGGCTCCTCAGGATTTACTTGGTGTCGAATTTGGGGAAAGCATAACCCTAAGGGTCCACGGACCCAAATAATAAGGTGTTTGGGCCCAAATACCTTGAATGTCATATTTTTTGGGCCCTGAACCCCTATTATGTTGGTCCCTGGACCCTCAGGGTAAGTTAAAGTCGTACCATTACATGCGTGCGTGTTCATTCCTGGAAGGCCATATTCAAAAGTAGATACTGGCTCGAGCGGGGATCGCTTAACGGTGGTGTACCCCTGCTGTCTCTAAGGAAGGCCTTTGGGTATGACTATTTCTGAAGATGGTCTCTATTGAAACCATGACAGGGACCCCCATCTGCCCTCTTGTAATCCCTATACTTCCCTTGGGGTCCCTGGTAGCCCCCCTATAAAACAAGAAACAAAAATACAACAATGCACCAACATCAACACCTTCAACCCTTAACCGCGGGCTGCCTGACCTGACCATTTCCATGACACCCTGCCTGGGCGTATTCGGGTTCAGGGTTTAGGGGTTACAAGGGGCTTATTGGGTCCCTGTAAGGGATTATTCAAGGACGCATAAATAAATATATATATATATATGTTTGTATATGTATGTACTTGATTTATGTGTATATACATATATAGATAGCAGAGGGTCCGGAGTCAAGGTACCCTCGCGTAGGTACTCATGGCCTACAAGCCTCAGAGAAAACATGTCGGATTTGTTGACCCCAAACGTATGCCAAACAGCTACATGTTTTCTATGTGCCTATATGTATATGTACAATTACATGTCATGGGTGCTGTGTTATCATGACATATGTATGTCTGTCTGTCTGGCTGTCTGCATGCATGCAAGTATGTGCGTTTGCTTGTCTGTCTGTATGTGTGCTGCATGCAATTAATGTACGTGCTATCTGTTGTGTGTAACGGGCATATTGCAGCGCACGTATGCCGGTATGTATGTATGTATGTATGTATGTATGTATGTATGTACGTATGCATGCATGGTGAAACCTGGCGCTCGTTAGGGGACTCCCTAGCTCAAAAGCCAATAGAGGCCCAATAAGTTATATTGACGTCACCTCCTATAGAATTAGGAGCAGTGCGCATCATATGATGAGTTGTAGTCGAAACTCCTTAAAGGCGGTTATGTAATTTAGGGTTTAGGGTCTATGGTCTCTTAGAGGGGTCATATAGTGGACTATCTAGGGAGACTACTATAGAGTTTGTTAAGGGGGATACTACGAGTTTAGACCATGGCGCATAATTTGCAAAAAAATAATGGTGTACACATATACATATATCTATCTGCTCTTCTGGAGGCTGGATATACCGATCTATGTATATATTCTTTACGTATGGAAGATCCGGATCCCGCTCGCTGTCAGGTTTTCGGAAATTCCTGAAACAGGGAAAGATGTGCGGTGCCGTATCTGCTCTTCTGGACGTGGACGTGCCGTACGTTATCTTTGCGCAAGGTGAGCCGGCCAACCTAGGGTGTAGGGTTTAGGGGTGTGCATAACCATAGGGCTGTCACTGTTGCAGTTTTCACTGGTCCCTTCTTTTTTCCTTTGCTAATATTGTGCGTACGTAAACATGTGGGGATTCAATCGCCTCCTTCTCCTCCTCCCTAAGACCTGGAACTTCAGCTCGGCTTTGGCAAAGAAATGGCAAGGCTGCAACTTCATCGACGGCCTTCCATGCGAGGACCTGAACTCCGAACGGTCAGGTAGCAATCTAGCAAACACACGCGACCTTGAAAGTCCTTGCACAGTTTAGTTTTTTTTTATTTTTTTTGTTGGGGCCTAGCTTTATACCATATGATGCATGGTTATTTGTTTGGGTCATAGGAGACACGTGAAGGATGGACATTGGATTCGTGACGGAGGGTTTGTAATTGAAAAACGATAACACGCTCGCCAAACATTATGACGTCAACATATATCCCGACACTTGGAAAACGATAACGCTCTCACTTATTTCCACTGACACGAAGCCCGGACAGCAACTTAAAGCATTACCCCGAAACCCTAAACCCGTCATATGCATACCTGGACCAACACTCTGGGTGAGGACCTGAAGTCTGTACGGCTGCGGCAGGGGTTTTGGCGCGGCTTGCCACTTGGAATGGTCAGTCTCTTGGTGGTGACATTGAGCCTTTTCCAGATGCAGGCTTGTCAGCTCGTTAATGCAGGGCCCAAAGCCGAGTACTTGGCAAGTAGTTCTGAAGAAGAAGCCGAACGTCCTGGGTTCCTGGCGCAAATGTACGCGCACTGGGTCTTAGGGGACAGCTTGATCTCAACCTCCGAGATCCAAAAGCAGGGCCAGGACATTTGGGGTGCGTCTTGGGGTGCGTCCAATATTATTAAGCACGAGAAGGAAAAGCTCAACAATGACAATTGGGATTGGATGATATTCGACAACTGCCGATGTTCCACATTATTCTGGTTCAAACCAGACATCCCTCAGGAACAACAGATTGCCGAGAACGGCTTCAGCCCGCTAAAAAGCGACAGTCTCCACTCCTCCATTGTCATCCTGCCACCAAATGCATCTTGTCATCTTGGGCCGGAAATCGGAAGCGGTTCTTTGTATGCGCTCAACAAGTTGCTCTTTGATGAGCGCAAGGCAGAGATTACGTCTAGCCATCCTGAGCTTGATTGGGCACAGCATGTTCAAGAGATGACCAACAAGTACAAAAAACTGCTTGCCACCTATGTGCCGGATTACTTCTTTGGAATATCACTGCGACCTTGGCAGCCCTGGCATCTACAGTGGACTACAGCCTGGATCTTTCTGCTTTCAGCAGCATTGCCCATTCACGGGCACATCTGCGAAAGGGCGCGCGTACAATCCTTGCTCGCAAAGGCGGCCATAGCCGTATACATTTTTGCAGACGTCGCTTGCCTTGCCTGCATGGCTACCCTGGCAACCATGGAAGCTCAGATGGAAGGCTTGAAAGATTTCACAGAGATACTGGGAATCTGAAGAACGAGATTTTGCAACTTTCGTGTGTACCCGAGCCCCAACAAGCTTACCTTGATCATGTTTATTCGTACCTCAACAATATTCAACAGAAGGCTACTCTCTGGAGAGGGGCGCGTTCCAAATGACGAGGTGACAGCAGCCCTTCGAAAAGCAACACTTCAAGGAGCGCGGGTTCTCAGAGAACGGGGCCTTCAGGGATCGTTCGAAGGAGTTTCAGGGTGTGAAGTTTGGGCCGGGCCGTGTTGATATGTGTTGAGAACACGGTATAATGGGGGGGGTTCTCTTACGGATTCTAGAAGGGTAAGGTTGACATACCTGCAGTCAAGCACATGTATGCTTATACTACGCCAGGGAGCTATCTTTATCTTGAGATGCATGGCTCGCATGATGTCCGGAATCAGGTTGGGTTGTTCAGAATCAACCGCGGCTCCTCTAGCCTGGCGTGAACTGTTTGATCAAAAGCCGCTTTTTGCACGCTTTTACAGAAAATCTTCCGGGAGGGCCTTGCCGATGGCTTAGAAGTCGGCTCAGGTTGCTGCTTCGGACTTCAATGTCATTTTGGAAAATGCATTTTTTATAACGGTTTATAAGTGGGATGTATTTTCTAGAACTTGATAGGTTGTTTTATGTTCATTTTTACCTTCCTATAACAGGGTGTAAGTTGTGCTATCTTTTCTATCTCCAGCTATCTTGTTCTATCTTTCTTTGCCTGTTTTTGCGAGTCAAAACGCGGTCCAGCGCATTTTGTTGGTAGAACAGGAGCTGTTCATGTCACACCCTTTTTACAGATTTTTGTGGAATACATGCAGGAAATCTGACTACACTTCCTAAAAGCTTGAGTGTTTGTAGGTTTGGACAAGGCAAGGCATGAGACCGTCACAAACTATGCATACCAAATCGAGGCCAAGAGTGGGCTCGGGGGATCACCTGCAGGCTCATTTGTGTAGGGCTTCAGGCTTTAAGGTCCGAATTTAATGCCGGGTTTAGGTACCTTTGTTTTGTCGGACTGATTGCCCCTAATCCCTGAACCCCTAAAGCCTTATAACCCTTATAACCCCAAACCCCAAACCTAAAAGTCTAAAACAGTGAGTCAGAAACCTGTGGGCCGCTGGCTTGGAGACTGAACTTCCTTTTCTGGTCTGAAACCCTAAACCCTAGACCCTAAACCCAGGATTTTAACCCCCAGGTGCAGATTGTTGGCTCAGGCATTGTATTTTTCTATAATCTGAAGCCCCAGACCTTAAGCCCTGCATTATAAACCCTGGTTTCAGGTTGCCTGAACCCTTTTTTGAGAGTTTGAAGCTCTCAACCCCAAACTCTAAACCGGGGATTCTGAACCTTAAGTCTAGGCTGTTGAGCCAGAGTTCGTAACATTGTATCCACTTTTCCAATATTCTGACATCCTAAGCCCTAGACCATAAGCCTTGGATCCCGGACCTTAGGTCCAGGCTGTTGGCTCAGAGAGCGCATCCTTTTCAATGCATCTGAAACCTTATAGATCCTAGACAGACCCTGAAGCCTGAATTTTAAACTAAACCCTAAGTCCCCGAAAAAACTCTAAACGGTTTAGAGTTGCAACTGCGTCATTTTGCCTGCAAGCTGCACTGCGCGGCTGAGCCGTGGCTGTGAATACTATTTTAGTCTTCAATTTACGTACTTAAAACCTATATAGCAAGCAGCCAAACCTCTATCTCATATGCGTCTGCGAGCGCTGTTTTTCGGGACCGCCCGGCCGGATACGTCCAGATACGTCACAAATTCGCCGTTTTTCGCTGGAGCGGATACGTCCAGATACCTTGGTTTTTCGGGTTTCGGGCTGCCAAAACCTGAGCGGATACACCAGGATACGTCCAGATACGTCTTTTTTTTGCCTGGTTTTCTCACCGTTTAGATACATCGTACACTTGCCAAAAATTCACACCGGAGGCCCCTGGACACGTCTGTTAATATTAGGGTTATATAGGGGTTATATTGGGGATAATGGAAAAGAAACTGTCCACTACTATATTATAATAGGGTATAATTCACCCTTCACTCAGCAGTCAGGTCGAAGTCCGGTGAATACAGAAAGGCCTACGTGCCAAAATCATAGTAGCAAAGAGGGCACGCTGCAATCGAGCTACAAAATGCCATTCCCTAAGGGTCCAAGGACCCAAATGAGAGGGTTTTGGGGCCCAAATACTATGATATTAATGGTATTTGGGCCCTGAAACCCTACTATTTGGGTCCTTGGACTTACTACGCAGTCTGCGCATGCAAGGCGCACGCCTTGCATCTGAAGCGTCAAATTAAGCTTCAGAATTTAGGGATGAGGGCTTGAAAGCCGTTGATTTGAAGTTTCACGGTGTGGAGTGCGCAGTTCACTAACCTTCCGCGGTCTTTACCGAGCCACAGCCTTGGGTGTATTTCAATAACCAACACGAAATCTTGCCCCGACAACTGCTCATGTGGCTAGTGCATGGAAACTATCCTTACAAAATGACTCATACGATTTCCGCGCCCCAGTAATCCAATTTTCGCCAACCGGAACATATCATAAATTTGTTCTTTTTCAATACTAAAAACTTTTCCTGCCCGTGCTAAACTATAAAAGCAGCACGGTAGCCACCTACAAGTTCAACACTGTCCCAAACACGAATAAAACGTGAATCGCAGTTTCTACCCAATCACAGCATTGTTTGAGCTAACTTCACTGTCTCGTTTTAAGTCTGTCTAAGTAATATAAGTCTTACAACTACGTATAACATTTGAACTTGTTCTATTTCCTATATTCTTTGCAACACTTGTCGAATAATATAAACTATATTACAAGATGCAAAACTTATAGAATTACAACCTACTTATGAGTGCGTTATAAGTGGGTTATAGCTGGTTTATAAGTGATGTAACATTTATAACAAATGCATTTAAACAAAGATAACACTGTTGGACTTGTCGGAAGGTTGTAGGGAGAGGAACGCGACGGTTTTCAACCTCTTCCATCTGGTTGAAGCAGCTTGTAATACGCTTGTCGAACCGCGGGCAGGAGCCAAGAAGCAAGATGTTTAGGGCTCCGGGTTGAGGGTGTGCAAGAAGCTGGGTTGAGGGTGTGCAAGAAGCATCAGGCTTTTGGGCTTAGGTCTTGCCAGAAAAGATGACCGGGATAGTAATCTTTTTTTCAGGAGTTTTGAACAAGCTCCCATTCAAGCGTTGCTCATGTCATGTCCATGAGTGCGGGCTTTTGGACTTTCAGGGCAGGCGGGGTTCCTGTGCGAACCAAACATGTGACTGTTGTGAGGCATGCTGGCGTTAATCATTCACATTGTTCGTAAGAACATGAATATGGGGGTTATATGATTACCCCACGGCAGAGGACAATGTCTTGGCATGCGGCGAAGTGTTAAATGCAGGGCATCAAGAGATGATAACAGGAAGATAAAGCGACAACAACCATGCGGGTCAAGCAAAAAGGATTGGAATTGGAGAGTTTATGCAACGTCATGTAAGTCCTGGGAATTACCATACACATTGTCACCCAACATGTTTTTTGACACGTGATATTTTCAAGGTCATGGGTGGGCATCCCTTTCCTGTGCACGTGATAGGACGAGACTCTTTGTACCCGCTGTTGCAGACCATCGCCGTGTTCTGCGGCACAAAGATGTTGCTGGTACGTTGCTGCTTGCCGAGGCTTTCCTTGGGACAGTTATTCAGCGGTTGCTTGTGCTCGCCCTTGTACTTGATTTCTTTCGACTGCTTGCGAATATCGCGGGACGCAAAAGCTCTGCATTTCCTGGTCGCTATCCGCGCCGTGGTCATGCTCGTCAGCCTCGAATTAGCTTGGTATCCCGTCAGTTCGGAAGAGTTCATTCGGTGGTCAGCTGTGATCTTCAATTTTGGCATCTCTCGCAACGTGTTTCGCGCTCACGTGACATGCATGCTGATGGCCGCCGCTGCATCTGGTTTGGGTGCCATTTGGGCTATTCACAGTGAGGTGGCCTCCAAGCAGCAGCCCTACAAGAAGGCCCATGGCTATGGGGCCATCCAGCTGCCGCCTGTCAAGCGCAGCAGCGCGCAAGGCATGCCAGCTGAATATCCGCGCTTCCCTCCTGGCATTGATTCAAGCGTGGTAAAGCCCAGGAAGCCCGGCTGTGCAGCAGGTAATCTAGTATGAGTCCCAATGTGCAAAAGCTAAAAGCACTTCTTTCATGCTCTTGGGACTGTCCCAGTCTTTGTGGGAGAAGCCTTGGGCTTGGAGGGCTGAGGATGGCTGAGGTTTGGGATCTTGCTCTAACCCTGGGGCTCTAACCTTATAAACAATACCTACATTGGGCCTTAAACCCTATAAATAGTACCTACATGGAGCCTTAGGGTAAGTGTCCAAGAGACTGAGGGTCGGACCTTGCCAAAGCGGTAAGGACAGCAGCGGGTAAATACTTAGTGACAAAGGTTTGTGGAACCCCAACCCGGAGAATAAGGATCGTGTTATAGTCATGTGATAGTTCTATAGGGGTCATAATTGTGGGGCGTTGCTGTTACCAAAGCGCTGTCATTGCAAAGCCCATAAGCCCTGATCCTAGTAACGACCCCGGCCCCACCCCACCCCGAATGTGCCCTCCACTATTATGGAAGGTCTTTCATGGGCAATATTCGGTATTAGGCGTGGCGGGGTGCTTAATATTAGGGAGACGGGGTCCACAGGGCTCAAAAAAACTCAATGTAGGGAACAAATGCCGACGTTAGGGCCCAATGTAAGTATCATTTATAGGGTTTAAGGTTTAGGGATTGATACCCTAAATCCTAAGCCGCGGTCACTTATATACCCAGACCCCAACAATAATGAAGATACTGGCCCCAAGCCTCGAAAAAAAGAAGTCAAGAAGCGCATTGCTCCACATACTCTAAGAGTTTCACCTCAACCCCAAAGCACCAAGGGTTTAGGGTTTAGGGTGTAGGGCCCTCAACCCTAAACCTTAAGCCCTTAAACTCTAAACCATAAACCCTCCACCTACTGGGCTGCTGTTAAGGAGCTGAAATTAATTTACTATATTGGGGAAACCCTATTATTTACTATATGTAGCCATTATGCTAAACCCTAAACCCTAAACCCATTATGGTAACTTAGTTTAAGTTCCTTAACAGCAACCCAGCCTAAGGAAGAGCATGGAGCCTCCAGCCTCGAGCAAGGCGGAGCCCAAGATGGAAGATCCTTAGCGTCTTGGTGGTCATATGCCCAAAGTTTAGCTGACGGGTTCACTTACAACTGTGGGTTTTTGCAATTAGGTTTTTCGTGGTAAGTTGTGTGAAATACTTCTACATACTGCCATTACTGAAAACACTGGCAGGCGTGGTATTTCAAGAGACGACAATGCAGAAAAGTCATGGAGCGCTTGGAGTCTGCGTCAACTACAAACTTCTTGACAAACGCGGAAATGGTATACCATTTCCGTCGTGCATTTTGGTGTTGTTTGGTGGGGGGGGGATGGGGGGAGGGGGGGGGGTAATTACGTC